CCTGTGTCTGGGCTCCGACGATACGGAGTTACAGCTCTGGACCGACAGCAGCGTGGACGACTTCCGCGGCCCCAGCGGGGACGGCAGCAGGCTGGCACTGGACGGCGAAGGGCGGAGCAGGTTGCTGTTCCCCGGAGAGGGGAAGGAGCCCCGGCGACAGCCCAGCAGCTCCTCCGCGCTGCCCTCGTCGCCGAGTCCCGGTTCGGACGGTAGGACGAGGATAGGCGGAACGGCGAGTCCCGTCCTCGACGCCGGACCGGGGACCACGTTCCCGCAGCTGACCGACGCCGACAAGCCGGAGAACGTCCCGCAGCCGCCGACGGGTCCCGGGTCCGGGAAGTAGTCGGAGCAGGGGACGGCGTCCTCGTAGTCGGCGTCCCGGTGGTGGCGCCTGCCTCCGCCGCCGGCCGAGCTGCAGTGGACCGGCCGGCCGTCCAGCGAGATGTTGCTGAGGAACAAAAGAGCCGCTTGTCTCCGGCGAGAGTTCTCCCGGTTCCTTCGACCGTGTTCCCTGCTAGCGTGCGGCTTTTTGCCGCTGACGGTGGCCGTTATCGCGGCGCTCTGCTGTCCGCAGGCGGCAGCCGCCATGGTCTCCGTCCCACCGAGGAAGTCAAGTCGGGAAACGGCTCAAGACTTTTATCTGTCAAATCCTTTTACCCGGCGCGAGTCCGCTTAGCGCTCCTCTGCTCGCTCATTGGACAGAAGCGCGGTGCGTGATGACGTAGGAGGCCACGGCACGCTGTAAACAGTGCTGCTCCGAGCGGGGAGATGATGACTTTATTATGATAAGCCCATTTAACAAAAATCCTACCTTAAATGCAGTTTTAAAGTTTTATTCAGTGTTTATAACCATTGAGTTTTGTGATCTGTGCCAGTTTATTTAAGTATGCGACGAGTTGGTACATTTAAGAAGTGAAAATAAAGCGATTGAGGTGGACCTGGTGCTTTCTGATGTACCTGCGTGACCCATCAGTGGCATTAACTTTGCTGTTGCAGCAGCCCTGCTTAAATGCGGACCTAATTGGCACTTTGTTGGGCTGCCTCAGAGGATTTTCCCTCTGCTGATCCTTGCAGCAACACCACCGACCTGAATCAAGCTGCTGCCTTAGAAGAAAGACTGTGCCTGCTACAATGCCTGCTAAGACACAGCACCCTGTAATCCCTGCAGGCTTGTAGTTTGTTTTCTTGCTTTCATCCATTGATCCCCTACGTCTCTACTAAATCAAATGAACTTTGAGCTTGGGGCGACAGCAGAATGGAAATCCAAAGCTGGGAGTTTATGTCCTATTGGGTAAAGGGCTATATTACGACTTACTAGAAACGCAAACTGGAGACTCAGACTTATCTCAGTTTCACAATATAAGTTATGCTGTGTGAATGCTTGACAATATAACCGTGAACATTTTAAGTAAACATAATGAATGAATGCCTGAATTCCACTCCTGTAATAAATCAAGCAAGGTATTTAATAGCTGTTAATAGCTACCATCACACATAAGACAGTAAATACAAAATCCATAATTAGATTAAAGCTTTTTGAAAGTTAATATTGATTTTATTTATAAAAAATTGACATCCTGGAATAAAATGAGCAAATACAGAATGGAAGCAGATTATAAACTCTCGCATGATACACGGTGGATGTTCAGATAACAAATAGATTAGGGGATTGTGTGTACTTTGTGTATTTGTGTGCATGTGTCTGTTGGTCAGATAATAGCAATACGGATATGATAGTAAAAGCCAACTGCTGCATGACTGCAGGGATTACAGGCCTTTAATCTGATGATGAGGGTAGAATTGATTTATTGTGTTTTCTAAGCACACAAACACAAAATGTGACTTTCAGTCGTTATGGTGATTCATCTAAGGCCTACCCTAAACCACAGCATACCCACAACACTATGTTTTACCTCTTGAAACATGTGGGTGCCACCATTTAGTCCTCAAAAAGCACAATATAATCAGAAAGTATAATGGTGTCCCTTTTAACCATATCATGATATAAAAATGTGCATAATAGGTGAACACGACATGTTATTTAAAATGGCTTGGAGATGTAAAAAAAGACTATAGAAAAACAGCAAATTTGCCCGTAAGCCACTCTCTCTAAAACCTCTTCAACATCTGGACATTTGCCGTTTAATCTGCAACATCTGTTCAATTTCTGAAGTCGGTGCATGAAAAGTTGCCTTTTGGCAGGTGTATTTCTGCCTCCATCACGTTTGTCCTTTATCACTGCTAATATATCTATGAGAAAGGATGTCCACAGAATTGTTCTGTTACATAATGGCACACAGAGAGAAAAACATGATTGGAGTGAAACCCATGGAGCTCTGCCCCTGACATTCAGTGATGTTGGCACAGAGACAGCCAAAGGGAAGAGAAGC